TCCAATGTCAATCTCTACAAGCTCCCGAAAACTTTGAGGAAGAGGCCAGCTGAAGAAATGCAAAGCAGCCACTCTAGTTTGTGGATTCCTTTTTCCTTATATTCAGTGGAAAACACTGCAGATGTGAACATTTGTCAAAGCAGCATTATTTTAGGACTAGTGTTGAACTTTCAATGAAGTCAGTGGAGACCCCCAGTAACATTAATGGGACATGGACTTAGTCCATACAGTGATTAAGACAGTGGTTCTCAACCGTCATGCCAGGGTCATGCTCATTATCAGCACTGGTAGGTATGAAAACAAGATGCACAGACTACCCAGATTTCAAATAGGAATCTATAGTTTCAGAAACATTCTGACGTATTGTCGTCTGAGTTCTTTGCGATGGAAGAACTTCTCTATTATTTTTCTCTTGTCAAAAATGAGCAAAAGCTAAGAGCTGACATTTTCCAAGAGGCCCCTTGAATCTAATGCAGTAGAAGCCAACCTTTTTGGCAGGCATGCCACAAGGTAAGCCCTGCACCCTCTGAGTGCCACTCCAATTCCCTTCCCCTGTCTAATCTGTTGCTCTGCTCGCTATCTTAACTGTCACTATTGCTACCCTTGCTCCCTCCCTGATCTGCTGTGTGCCACACAGCGTCTGCCTGTGCCATTTGTGGCCTATGTGCAGCAGGTTGGCCAGCCCTTGTCTAACAAGTTTGAGAACCACTACTTTAACTCACAATCCCTTCATCATCTAGGCCACCACCCACATGACCCTAAGTGATACTAACTACTTTTATAGTTATTTTCACCCATATCAAAATGTTTTAACAATGTATTATTCCCCTGTATACAGATGGGAAAACTGAGGCACTAAGCTGTTAACTAATTTGCTCAGTCACATAACAGATCAACAGGGCTAAAGGAGCCACCTGGTAGAAGAACCAAACTTTTGCAAACTTTACATATTCAGAAAAAAAATGCAGCGCAAGTCATAAATTGCCATCTTTAAGAAACGTTTCTGAAAGAGTCATGTTCATTGTCCCCATAAAGATCCCAATTACTTGAGGTCTGTGCAGAAAAGTGGTGAGCAAATTCATACAAATTCTCATTCCACAAGGCTGCCCTTTTGTGACCATCTTGCCAGTCTATCAACTGGAATAATGGGTGCTGAATCTCCACTAGTATTCTGAATATCTGCATGGCTATTCTCTTCTATGCTAGCCTATTCAGAGTCAGTTAAAGACCCTCTTCTAAGCACAACAAAGTGTTGAGGGTCAACAGTATGTGAGAACATATGCAATTGTGAGGCGAAGAAGGAATGAAAAATGACACGTAGAGGCAGAGAAGAGACAGAAGCAGCAAGAAGCCGATGGAAAAATGTAAGAAAAGTACAGAAAAACAAGGTTATAGAGGGCTAATACAGAGAAACTAGACAAAACGATGGGAAAACAACATAAAAACTGATCTGGAAGGGACAGTCAACAATGCAGAAGGAGATGACATGAGATAGGAAGAGATGGAAGGCAGTTAGAGGCCCTGAAGGCCTGTGAAACCACAGAGAGAGAGAGAGAGAGAGAGAGAGAGAGAGAGAATGTGTACCACAAGAATTGAAATAAGGTGATAGGGGAAAAAAAAGAGAAATATTAAAGATATAAGGGGGAAAAACAGAGGAGAAAAGGGAGGCAAAGATATTCTGCCTCCCAATGAAAAGTAAAATAAAGACACAGTAAATTAACTGTCACTTTAAAAAGTTAGTTGATATGCTGCAAAAAAATATTTGCAATAACGAAGTTCTGGCCTCAGTTTCTTGCAGTATGGGACCTCAGTTTTTAAATATATTTCTGCAAGAAGACGTTTCTCAATTTTGTTAAAGCACTTTGGAGTCTGTTTGCTTCCCCCTACATAGTTCGAGCAGAGCCCAAAACAAGAGAAGTCAACAGCAGTCTTTCAATTTGCTTTGACCAAGACCTGTGTGTCAGTTCTTGCACCCAGTTCTGAATTCAAGTGCCTAGTGTGTAAGAGATAGGGGAAAAACAGCCACTACCAAACACAATCTATACCTTTGACAGTGTTCAGGCTCTCTTATTTTGATGATACATTGGATGTTTAAATTTTTTCTTCATCCCTTGAAGCAATAAAATAGTAAGTAATATTGACAAATGCATATAATGGCTACTGCATCTAAAACAACTGCATAAGGGCTCTAAGTTGCCTAGGACTATATATTAAAGAGTGCAAGAAAAGTTTGCTTTAAAAGTTAGAGTCCAAGCCCTACAAACAATTAAGCATGTGAGTTATCCAACTGACTCCAAAGGGGGACTCACTCAGGTACACACATGCTTAAGTATTTGCAGGATCAGAGTGCAAACCTGAAATGATCAATGAGCTCTATGTGATCACATGGGTTTAGCCCACCCAGCAACTATTACAGGCTCAAGGCCCAACTCTAATTGAGTTTGTAAGCTGAATAAAGTCAAGACAACCTTTAAAAAGTCAAGAACAGGGACATTTCTTTTTACCAAACTTCTAAAATCCTTGACTTGCCTTTCTCCCTCATGTCAGATATTCAAAATAATTCTGTCATGATGCAGGATCACAGAATGTCAGGGGTTTTGTTTCACTTTCTTCCACCTTTTTTGGTCCCTGACATAAGCAAGGTTATACAGATATACTACTGGCTACCACAGCCTGGTAAAGCTAAGTCTGCTCCCAAACTTTTTGCTGTTCTTTGCTTTTTTTACAAATCGATGATGTAAGACCCAAACCCTTGCTTCTAAGCAACTGGATCTTTGCAGATCACCCCTTCAGTGGTCATGATTGTGTTTGCTAGTGGCTGTTTTTACCAACTCTCACATACTGGGCACTTGAAGTCAGAACTGGGTGCAAAAACTGACACACACCCTTGGGGAGAATGAGGAGTTATGGCCACAAACTCCTGGAAGATCGATTCAGGCTCAATATTAGGAAAAACTTCTTCAGTCAGGGTGTCCAGACTGTGGAACAAGCTCCCTCCAGAGGTGGTGCAGTCACCTACCCTGGAAATCTCCAAGAGGAGACTAGACAGTCACCTCACTGGGGTCACTGGACCCCCAGTTATCTTTCCTGCTTTGTGCAGGGGGCTGGACCTGATGATCTTCTGGCTTTACAATCTAGTTATCTAT